CTCTCGGAGAGCCTGGCAAGCTACCAAGAGTATCTCGCCCACACAGCAAAGCCTGGCAAGCTACCTGTGTCGTATTCGATATGCCAAACACAGTAACAACAAGTGTCACAATGGAGACGTTACTGGGCCCACTTGAGCAAATCGATGAACAACAGGAAGACAGTGACAGTGACAGTGATGGAGGCAGGGGGAGGGTCAGAAAGGGAGATATACCGGGGAGAATGGTGGTGGGGAATGTGCACTGGTGGAGGGATGGGTGTTTGATCATTGTGTGATTGTAACTCAAACATGAATGCTTGTGACTGTATCTCACGGTGATTCAGTTAAAAAGAAATAGAGCAGATACGTCAGATAAACTGTAGTTCAGTACTGACTGACACAAGGAAAGAACGAAGTTTCTTATATTTTTTTCTTATTTTCCCTAGGACTTGTATTAAAAGGAAACAATGAAATTGTTTAATTTGGTTGTACTTTTTAAAAAATGTAGCCATTGTAAGATTATAAAGATTTCAATTTTATAAAGGTGGGTTTCAGGCATACAATATCTCAATAACAATCCCTTCACCCATGTCCCATTTTCATCCGCCAATGCCCCTCCCGCAAATTTGCTTCTCACACTTTTATTCCAGGGGTTGTGCACACAGGGTGCGTGCGCACACGCTTTTGCGTTGTGGTTTACCGTACACTTTAGCACCTTTCAGCACCACCTCCTCCTCCCTGTCCTTTCCCCATCACCCCCAAGGGGCATGTTTCCTAGTTCTCATGTTCTTTGTTTCCATTGTCTTTGGGTATCCGACCATTTCTTTATGTCTGGAATCTGAGAGATCATTCTGTGTCTCTCCTCTGACTAACCCCACTCAGCATGGTACTCTCCAGGTCCCTCCACACAGCAGTACATTTCAGAATTTGATCTTTGCTTATGACTGAGTAGTATTCCATTGTGTATGTGTACCATGGTTTCCTTATCTAGTCAATCTGTTCTTGGACAGTTGGGTTGCTTCCAGATAATGGCTGTGCAGCAAGGAACATAGAAGCGCGAATGTCTCTTCTCCATTGTGTTTTGGGCTACTGCTATATTCCAAGTGGGGTCGCTGTGTGAAATGAAGCTCAGTTCCTAGATTTTTTTGTTTTCCCAAAAAGCTGGACCAGACAGCTTTCCCACTGGCATTGAGAATTCCTTTTTCCTCACACCCATGCCGGCACTGGTCATTCTTTCTGATGTGTGCCAGTGTGATGTGTGCCAGTCTCTGGCATCAGATCATGTCTCACTGTTGTTGTGATTTGGAACTCCCTGATGTTTAGTGATGCACGGCATTTTTTCATGTGCTTTTGGCCATTTGTATTTCTCTTAGAGGAAATATGTCTGTTCACCTCTTCTCTCCACTTTCTGTTGAGGTTGGGTGGTTTTTTTTTTCTTGTCAACTTCTACCAGTGCCTTATCTATCTTTGATATTAACCTCATATCAGATGAGAGTTGGGTAAATAATATTTTCCATTCTATGGGCAGAAGCTTCTTAGTTTAGTGTGGTCCCATTTGTTTATGTTTTTTTTCACTTGCTTGGTCGATTGTGTTTTATCTCTGAAGGTACCTTTAGCTTTGATATCATGGAGAGTTCTGCCTGTGTTTTCCTCTATGTACCTTACAAATACACGTATTAGTATCAAGGTTTTTAACCCATTTTAATTCGACTTTTTTGCTTGGCGTTAGAGATCTAAGGTTTTTTTGTTTGCTTGTTTGTTTTTGCACATAACTGACCAGTTTTCCCAGCACTGCTTGTTGAAGATTCTCTCTTTGCTCCACTTTATATTTTTTGCGCCTTTATCGAAGATTAACTGATCATCTACCTGATGGTTTGTCTTTATTTCAGTACGATCCTATTTTCATTACTGCTGCTTTGTAGTACAGTTCGAAGTTGGGGCAAGTGGTGCCTCGCCTGTTCTTTTCCCCAAAGATTGCTTTAGCTATTTGAAGGCGGAAGGGGGTTTTGTTCCACATGAATTTCAGGAGTGTTTGATCTCTTTCTTTGAAAAATGTCATGGGCATCCTTACAGGGACTGCATTGAGTGTGTACAATGCTTTGGGGGAGTATTGCCATTTTGATGATATTAATTCTCCCATTCCATGAACAGGTGATGCGTTTCTATTTCCTCTTGTCCTCTTTTATTTCTTGAAGTGGAGTTTTTGTAGTTTTTACCTCTTTAGTTATTGCTGATTCTGAGGTTCTTGATTTTCTGAGACACAATTGTGAATGGGTAAAGGTAAAGGTAAAGGCCCTCCCGTTGATCGTCGATTTGCTCGAGCGGGCCCAGTAACGTCTCCATTGGAGACTTTGTTGTTACTGTGTCTGGCATATCGAATACGTCACGGGGAGCTTGCCAGGCTCTGCCGTGCGGGCGAGATACTCTCGGTAGCTTGCCGGGCTCTCCGAGAGGGGCGGAGGAATCGAACTCGGGTCGGCCATGTTGGTTGCTTGTAAGGCGAACGCCTCTTTCATTATTTGCATATAGGAAACCTACAGACTTTTGCCTATGAATTTTGTAGCCTGATACTTTACAATAGGAATCTTCACAATAGGACTTTTATCGAAAGCTTCTGTATTAAAGATACCAAAGGGGAAATTCAGATACAGAAAGACTTGATAATGGATTTACAAAACATTTTAACATTAACCTTGCAAGCAGGAGAACAAGAGGAATACATTTCTATGGAGTAATTTAGTTAAAAGCTACATGGTCGGTCTACCCTGTTGTAAAAAGCTTACCTTTCTGGAAAAGTAAACTCTGTACTAGAGGATGCTAGGTTAACTAATTCTGCATATTACTAACTGTCCCGATGAAAATCTTACAGGTTCTACTAATGGTTTGAAGAGAGGCATTCTATAACTATTATTAAATATCTCATGCCATTTTTGAAGAGTAGTATCCGTAATGATACCATCTTAATTCCCAACAGTTTTCCGAGCAAAGATCACTGTCACTGCCCTCCTGTTGTTCATCGATTTTCTCGAGCGGGCCCAGTAACTTCTTCATCTAACTTCTCCATCGTGAGACTTGTTGTTGCTGTTTTTGGCATATCAAATACGTCACAGGGAGCATGCCAGGCTTTGCCGTGTGGGCAGGATACTCTCAGTAGCTTGCCGGGCTCTCCGGGAGGAGCAGAGGAATCGAGCTTGGGTCGGCCGCGTGGGCCGCGTGCAAGGCAAACACCCTACCCGTTGTGCTGTCGCTCCAGCCCCCGGAGTAAAGGTAATTTTTTAAAACTTTTTTTGGCGAGTGGGGGCATACTGAGTGATGTTCCGGGCTTACTCCTGACTCTGAACTTAGGGATGTCTTTTGTGGTGCTTGCAGCACCATATGGGATGCTGGGGATTGAGCCTGGGCTGGCCACAGACACGGCAACAAGATGTTTCTAGGAATCTTTTCCCATCTCTTACTCACTGGTGGTTCAGTAGCGAGCTGTTTAAATTCTAGGTGTTTTAATTTTACTGCATTTCAGTTTAAATTTTGGTTTTAGTGCATCATGATCTGAGAAAATAATTGATATAATTTGTGTCCTCTTGACCTTATTAGGGGTATGTTTTGTGGTGGTCTTTTGGGAGAATGTTCAGTGGCCTTAGAGAAGAACGTGTATTTGGCTCTGCGAGGGGTGAAAGACCCGGTTCTGCTAAACCCCTCATTTCCATTTCTTCCTTCAGAGTCAGTGTTTTCTTTATTGAGTTTTATTCTAGATGTATCCGTAGGGGATAGAAAAGTTTGTTAGCAGTTGTTGTACATATTTCGCTGGTTCCTCACTGGTTGCATAAATGTTTTGGAGTACGAGTTCTTGATGTACGTATTCTTTGATCATTAAAAAATGTTCATTTTTGTCTCATACCTTTTTAAAAATTTTGAAGTCTTATATTCACACACAGACATAGACACACACACACACACACACACACACACACACACACACACACACACGACCACCCTGGCAGTTGGAGTTAGGAGGGAGTTGTTTGCTTGAAGTATTGTTTTCCGACCTTTGACTTTGTGTCTGTTTACCCTCACTCTTCAGTTGTATTTCTTTTAGGAAGCAGAAGTTGAATTCAGTTTTCTAATCCATCCTGCCACATTTTGTCTCTTAATCGGCGCACTTAGGACTTTGGTATCGAGTGAGATTTGGCGATCAGTCCTTGTTAAAATTGTGGGTGGCTGTAGTTGCACTGTAAATGAAAATTCAATAAACCAACCATACCCTAATAGCAGAGTGATATTTTTTAGTATCTCAAAGGTCTGGGTTTCTTTGTTCAGTCCATTTACCTGTATGTGAGAGTTTCCAGTGGAAATAAATGCGAGGTTTTTAGGGTAGAGATTGAGAGTGAGAAAATGGAGGGGTACATGCATAACCTCTATTTTTTTTCTTAAATTGCAACCGAGGAAGCTTTTTGAAAGTATATTGTAAAGGTCAAGTTCTGTGTCTTTTCTGCTTGAACTCTGTGTGACTAAATGGAGACTGTCGCTTCTGATTTATTTACTGATTCAGTATTTTGTGAACACCTCACATTGCTAGCACTTTTGGCTCTACCTTTAGAATAGGAAACCTAGACCTGTTTTTTCCTATAAAGTGGGAAACAGTCTGCAATTCCGTAATCTGTTCTTCAGACCTTTGCAGTACAAGAGCACTAACCTTTGTTTGGAATTTTATAAATAAAGGTAAGGTTACCCCCCGCCCTTACCTTTTATGCTAGATACTTTCACAGTTGTTTGCAAATTTGATTGATTTTTTTAAAAATTTTGAGCCCTTCTTGTTGAGTGAGAAACATTAATTTTTCTTAATTACTATCTCTTCAAGTTCAGTTTGATCTTTAATGTTTCATTGCATTATTAGAGAATTGATTTTGTGCTGCTTTGAAAAGTAATTTTAAAAAGTTTTGCTTTCACATGAAAGAACCTTGGGGTCAATATATTAAGAATACTAGCGAGCCAAGGGAGAGGCTCAGTGGGCCCCTACCCCTGCGTTCGCGGTCATGACCCTAGACCCCACAGATCAGCATCTTAGGCATGTCGAAAAAGATGTTTTGATTCCTAAAGTAATGAGAAAGAAGGCCTGGGAGAGATGTTCTGAACAGGCCCAAGATTTTACCAGATGTTGTAAGGACTCTGGATTGGTTACGGTGGTAAAGTGCCAGAAAGAAAATTCTGCACTGAAAGACTGTCTGACTTCTTACTATAAAGATACAGCATCTTATGAAGAATGCAGAATGGAATACCTGAAGGAAAGGGAAGAGTTCAGAATAACTGTAATTCCTTCCAGGAAAAGGCTACAGAAGCTTCCAACAAGCATGTAGGCAAGTAGTAAAATAATACACAGAACGCGAATGCTCGTGAAATCCCAGTCACCGGAAAGGATGGACTCATGGAAGGGTGTTCGCTTTATCCTAAATCATGAAAATACTAAATTCTATTTGAAGTAAAGTTAATTGTAAAGTTTTATTATTAAATGGGATGAGGTAAACTATACAATGGTATATAATTATCTTTATTATGTATTTCATAAAATTGTCTACAACTGTTAAAAAAAATACCAGACAGCCACGAATGAATAACTAGTCTGTAGCTCATACGGGTATCTAGCATGACCCAGTTCAGAGACAGTTGTGGTGGCTGCCTGGCGTGCAGCTGACCCAGGTTTGCTTTTTTGGCACCCATACATTCGGTCTCCGGAGCCCCTCCAAGAGTGACCCCCTAATGCAGTCAGAGTAGGTCCTGAGCACTGTGGATGTAGCCTAAGGGAGGGGGGACAACAGTCCAGTGAACATCTTGTCAGGAGCTGGAGAAAGAGGAATATGAGAGAGATGGCCATGGTCATGGTCACGCAGCACTGCATGGGAAACATAAAGTCCCTGAACTTAACAGAAAATTCTTTGCCTTCACCGGTGGTAATTTTACCACAATAAAAAATGGTTTTAAAAAATGCGTGTCTTGGATTCTGTAGATTAGACTATATGTAGAGTAGATTTTGAGTGTAGTTTTATTCTTCGTATTTGTCCAGAATAAGTTTTTGTTTGATTTCTTTTCAAAATCCATTTATCAGCAGGAGCTTAAGTGTGATTAAATATTCCTTATTGTTAAGTAGGACCTCTTCCTTCATCCTCTGACAAAATGTTCATTTGACTATTTTTTTGTTTGTTTGTTTCTTAGGCCAATAAGATGGTTTTCTTTGGTAGAAGAGAAATAAAAACAATCTTTACATAAATTTAAAAAAGAACTGAAAACAGTTTCAGAGTTTGTCCTTAATATTAATTACAAGCTGCATGTGTAATTATTAAAGAAAATGTAATGACTTTTACATTGGGTTAGTAATTTAACCTATATCAGTTAATTAACATATAAACATATCATTATATTGCCTTACTTGAAATCAAATGAGATGAGGTTCATGGTACCCCTTTTTAAAATTACTTGTTTTATCAAAGTACTACACGCAAACTGAGTAGTTACAGTATACTACAAAATATCTTCCTTTTGCCTAGACCCTCCGGTTTCCCAAGAAGTTGGTACTTTGAAATCTTCCTGCTATTTCTTCTAAACACATGCCCTCCACCTTCTTTACCTGTCTACATTATATTGCAACAGAAAATTTGTGAATTATCATTGAGAAAGATCAATTAAAGATTGGAAAGTTTTTAGTCATTGATCAGGACAAAATTCTGTGGCATGTGCCAGTATGTATACGTATGTTGGGGAAAGTGTGTTGATGAATTTGTTTTTGGACTCAATTCTAGGCAACCCAGACTTTGAGAATGTGTGAAAGCGCTGAATTCATTTCTGAAAAATGGCCATATTCAAATTAGGTTCTTCCATGGAGCTAGTGCTTTGTAAAATTTGAAAGACAAAAAAAGGTAAAATTTCTTTCAGTGGCACTATTTTGACCTCACTAAATAAAATGAGAACTTAAGATTATAAATCACTAAATTGAAGACTGAATTGACTTTTTCCTGAAAAAGGCATGCAGTGTCCAAAAACTCTATGAAGAGGTGCTTAGTATATATCACTAATAGTTAGGAAAATCCAAATTAAATATGCAATGAAATAACACCTCACACCTGTTAAAATAGCTGTTTAAAAATGTAGTAATAAGTTTTATGCCACTAGTAGAAAAGTAAATATATAGCCATTACAAGAAAAGTTTCTAAAAAGTTAAAAATAAAACTGTTATATAACAGTTCTACTTCTAGGTATATGTCTAAAGGAAGTAAATTGGTTCTTAATGGAATATCTGCACTCCCTTGTTCATTGTAAAATTATTCACAATAGCCAAGATGCGGAAAATAACCTAAGTGACTTTCAGCATAAAGAATAAATGTTAAAAACCCTGGAATATTAACTAAAAAAAATTAGGACTTTCCATTTTTGCCAGCAGAGGATGAATCTGAGAGACATTCTAAGAGAGAAAAGATGAAGAAACACAAATTAGAATGGTGTTTTAGGGGGCATGGGGCGCAGCACCTGGTGATGCTTGGGAGTTGGCTCACAGAGGCCACAAAACTCAGTGATAAGACAAATAGTGTTTGGGGATAATGTAAAGTCAAGAATACTCATAATTGCTAGAAATGAAGTTCAAAGTTTATACAAGTCAGACGGGGATTGAATCAGATCAGTGTGATGGAAAGCAAAATTACTTTTTTTTTTGAGTGTAGGAAGAATTTGTTTCCTTTTTTTTCTTATACTTTTTTTTGGGAGGGGGAGGGTTGTTTTCTGTGTGGTTTTATTCTAATTCATTTAGGGTTTTTTGGTCACTGTCCTCCCGTTGTTCATCAATTTTCTCGAGCGGGCCCAGCAACATTGTGAGACTTGTTACTGTGTTTGGCATATCGAATGTGTCAAGGGTAGCTTGCAAGACTTGGCTGTGCGGGCGAGATACTCTCGGTAGCTTGCCGGGCTCTCCGAGAGGGGCAGAGGAATCGAATTCGGGTCGGTCATGTTGGCTGCATGCAAGGCAAACGCCCTACTGCTGTGCTATCGCTCCAGCCCAGGTTTTGGGTATGTAACTTGACACGAATGCTCACAGTGCAGTTGCAAGTGTTCAGTGCTGGGACACAGCCACCACCAACTGCCCCGCCCCTCCTCCCACAGCCTGTACCCCAGTGGGCATGACATGGTTTACTTGGCGCTGCCTGTCACAACCTGGACCTCCTGATGCTGGCATGAGAGCCACGGCCTGAGGGGCTGCTGAGCTGCTGGGTGCTGGTTGAGCTCGCCGAGCTTAGTGGGCTTTTACCCAGGTTCCTGGGTGCTTCTGCTGGACTGTCAGCAGTAGTTTGGAGGTGTTGCCCTGCGTGTGCAGCTGTGTTTCTCAGGACCTTTTTGTAGTTGCAGTTGGGAAGCTAGGCCATTGGTCTGGAGGTCGCCAAACTCGGGATGTGGGTGGGTGGAAGACTGGGCCTTGGGCGCTCTTAGTCTGCCCGGTCTGCAAAGATCCCAGAATCAGGGGAAGCGTCCCCACCGTGTCTCCACCCTGCGCCTGCCTGTAGGTGCCCGGGTAGTCGTGATGCTTGGCCGGGTCTCTTTTTTATTGCATCTATTTTTTTCTTTTAGTTCTTTTTTGTTGTTTAAAATTTTATTTCTGGATATAAAGTTTCATGAATGGCAGTGGACAAAAGTAGAAATGGTCATAAAATATTGATTTGACAATTTGTCTTTATTGATGTTTATTTAGACTGATTTTCAGTGTAATTAGGTCCACTGTAAGCCTAAATATCTCAAATTTTTACATGAGATTAAAAACACCAACAGCAACAGCATGCTGTACTCTCTGCCATTACTGTGAAGTTACCCTGTCATCTGAATAGTTGATCCAAGAAACGAAACACTTGATTCAAGTTTTTCTTTTTCTTTTTGTAATGCTGAGTCTTGAATTTAGTGCTTCACACAAGCAAGACAGGTGGTTTACTTTTGGGCCACACCCCCACTCTCTTTTTTGACTTTTATGTAGAAGAGTAGTCGAACTAATGGTTCTCACAGAGTTTGGGGTTAATAGATATCAGCCCTTCTTCCACACTTGGGACTTTGAAGAAACATTGTTTGAATTTCCAAGATCCCCTACATGGAAAAAAATGCATGTTATATTTATGTTGTTTATGCAGTACAGAGGTAGATTTCTGTAGGAAGTGATTGTGACTTATTAAAAATAAGTTTTTTCCTAAGTGTAATTTATCAGTTTTATAGACTTTAAGATGATGGATGCCCATGAATCAGTTTGCAAAGTGAAGTTGTATTCTTAACATACCAAAAAAAAAGTGGTTATAGGACTGAAGTCCTGCTCCGAAGTAGGTGATCCTCCTCTTGGGAGGCATGTGCAGTTCGTAACAGTTGTAGCTTTGGGTGAAATCCGAGGTGCTCTTTGTTCATAGGTGGGCCAAATAAGTTCGAGAACCTCTGGGCTACGGAAACCAGAATCCTGCCTTGATTTTAGCTTCGGTTGTCTTTGATTTTTTGGTTCCCATTTGTATTTTAAGGTCTCAGTGAAAGGATCACTCAGTGAATAATAAAATAGGGAAATCCATGGTGAATAGAAGTTGTGTAGCCCATGGCAGAGCAGAGCCCCTTGCAGGCGTAGGGCCAGAAGTTTGATCCCTGGCATTCCCTTCATCACTGAATGTGATACTGCAGCTCTTACCGTTGGGTCCCTCAACTCCACAAGTGTGTAACATTCCCATGAGCCCAGAGCCAGGAGTAAGCCCCCACTCTGCTGAGTGTGACTCAGAACCTGGTAAAAGACTAGTATTAAAATATATATTAGGTGATACCGGGGCTGGAGCAATAGCACAGTGGGGAGGGCATTTGCCTTGCACGTGGCTGACAGGACCGCCCCGAGTTTCATTCCTCTGCCCCTCTCTGAGCGCTTGGCAAGCTACCAAGAGTGTCTTGCCCGCATGGCAATGCCTGGCAAGCTACCAGTGACGTACTCCATACGTCAAACACAGTAACAAGTCTCACAATGTTACTGGGCCCGCTCGAGCAAATCCATGAACAACAGGAGGACAGTGACAGTGACAGGCGATACTGGAATCTTGTTTCGCTTTCAAAATTCTTATAAATTCAGGGCTTTCTTCAAGTTTTCCTCTTTTCTTATTGGGTGGAGCAGACCTGCCAACTCAGGGGCTGCTACTTCTGGCAGTGCTTGGGGGACAGTGTGCTAAGCAGCAAACTTGGGCCGCCTGCAGGTAAAACATGCACTTCAGTTCACTGGACTCTCACTCTCTAGACCCTGCATAGCAGTTTTGACCATCATCCTGCAGCACAGTGTAGTACGGTACGAGTCCATAAGCCAGGCTTCACTGGAGCTCTGTGACGT